TTTATGTTCGTCGAAAAGTTGGGGGAGCCTATGATGCTCAATGTATTGCCCTAACTGTAAAATTTGGAGGAGGTGGTTGTGTAATGGTTTGTGGTTGCATATCATTTTCCAGGACAGGAATGTTATTTTTTTTTTTGTATTTACTTGTTCTTTCAATCAGTTTCCATTAAGGATAATTTTTAGGAGTAACTTATTTTAACTAAAATTTACACGTTATTATTTTTCTTTTTTTAACTAGTATTCAACATGTAAATATCTTGATTAATTTATTTTAAGCAATTTTAGTTAAATGTTATTTCTTTTAGTGTGACGCCACTTGGTCCAGGGTCGAATCCTTTGGTCACGGCGCCAACTGTGACGTCGCTCCTCCTGGTCGCTCTTCGCTGTTCCAAGTGTGACGTTCCAACCCTTTGGTTAGATGATTACCAGCCTCGCCTTTCCCAACTCGCTTCCAACACCTGGTTACTAGGGTAACTGTACTGATCTCCGGTCTGCCTACCCACGTTGTGATTAGATCTTAGACAGACGGGATCAAACAGGGATTGGGGCCGTATGCAAGTTGAGTTCGACGGGGGTGGCAAAACACAAGTAAAAGAAAAACTCACGAGGCCAAAAATTACTGATAAAAAAAAAGGTAACAACCTTTTATATCTAATGTTCGTTACATAAAAATTGTTCTTACTTCCCGACCCGCTTTGTGGACTGTGGCACCAAGCTTCTATCATAAAACTTAAAGACTTCGAGTTGCCTACTCACTAGAATTTTGTATGTCGGAGTGTGGTTTAGTTTTGACACTGGGCGCTAATCTCTACCAGTCGTTCACGGCTGATTCTTCTCTTCGGCTTGAGTTGGACGAGCTTATTTACTTCGGCTTGAGTTGGACGTATTTCTTCACTTCGATTTGGTTTGGACGAATTTCTGTTCTTGGGCTTGGTTTGATTTCAACTTCGTCTATGCATAACTGCAAGTAACTTCTTCTTCTTCCGTCCTGCAACTCTTCTCTCTGCCGTCTGAGGTGATCTGAGCTCTCTGTCGTCCGGGGCTGAACTGATCTGCTTGTTTGGCCTGCAACTTTACTGCCTGTCTGGCCTGCAACTCTTCTCTCTGCTGTCTGAGGTGGACCCTTCTCGCTGCCGTCCGGGGCTGAACTGATCTGCTCGTTTGGCCTGCAACTTTACTGCCTGTCTGGCCTGCAGCTCTTCTTCTTGTCTGGCCTGCAATTCTTCGGCCTGTCTGGCCTGCTGCTCTTCTTCTTATCTTCGACTTGGCTGCAACTTCTCTGCGGCTTTCGAGCAGTCTTCTTCTTCTTCGACTTGGGCTGGAAGGATTTCTTGTCTTAGGATTCTCTTGCCCGCAAAGGGGCGAATGAACCGGGCCCGATGCCCGCGTTCAAAACTCCCTCGCTGCCCGCGGTCCAGCTGCAACTGATTTCTGTCGACTGGGGTCCTGCTTTTATTGACGCCGCAACAAACTGGGGTGGGCCTGTCGGCGCCAGGGTTTTCTCGATAATTCCAAAAGTCGCATTATTTCTGATTTCCCATTATCGCTCTTATTTTCACCCCTACTTCCTCACAGTGCCTCTGGTGGGGAGGCGCATACCCATCTCTCCCGGTCTCTCGTATGTCAGGTGACCGTTTTCGACCAATGGGTCCTGGTCGAGCGTCCTTTCTCCTCTTTCTCGCATATCACGTGACCGCTTTCGGCTAATGAGATTCTGGTTGGGCGTCTCCCGTACTTCGTGACGTCTCCAATCGGGCGTGGCTTATCCCGTCTTTGTTCTGGGAAAGAACACCTTGCTAAAAAAAACAAAATCCAAATTGGCCTTTTTCGCACGCACGAAAAATGACAATCTCGGCCCTTCTCACCTTTCTGGTTCTTGTCAAAACAGCCCGCCGCTAATTAGATGTGACTTCAGGAAGAATTTTCTCGTCTCGCTGGCGCTTTCTGTGAGCCAAAAAAACATTTGTTTTCACCTCTTTGTTTTTGCTCAGACCTGATAGTCAAAAATCTTAATTATCTGAATTGAAAATGTCTTCACTTCATCATCGTGGGGGTTCTAATTTTTAACAGGTCAGAATCTGTATACAATTTCAGCGGTCACCTTCTCATCCCAAAAGACACCCTTCTCCGATTAATATTTCGTTTTCCATTGTTCTAAAAAATCCCATTTCTCCAAATTGATAATGAGTCTTCTACACAAAAGTAGGCCAGATGCTTTGACCGACATTTTTATCAATCGTACATATGTTCATACACTTTTACCAAGTCTGTTTTCTTTCTTTCTTTTAATTACCTTTAATTCTATTCTTCCAAATAACAATTTCCATTGTCCTTTGAAATTCGGTCAGGCGCGTTGGCCTAGATACCTCTTGACACCTGTTTTCGCTAATGACCGGCCTTTTGCATTACTCATTCTCTCCCTTTCTTTTCCTCTTTCTCTTTTTCTTTTTCCCTTCATTTTTTTTCTTCCCTTAGGATCGCCTAAGTACAATTAGAGAATTATTCTCGAAACTCAATTATTCTTCGTCTCAAAAAAAAACTAACAACTGGTTAATAAACCGAATAAAAAATTAAATCATATTTCTATGAATATTTCTTTTTTTTTAGTTTTTCTAATAATGCAGGGTGCCACATTAGTTTTTAAATGAAATTTCTTAGATTAACAATCAATATCCCCAATTATTCACACTGTATTTTAGGAGTTTTTTTTTTTTGTAAATAGTTTGAGTAAGTCATTTTAATCACTCTAAACATTTTTTAAGTGTAGTTAAGAATAAAAAGGAAAGTTATAAAAAGAGAAAGACCAAACAAATAAGATATAATAAAGAATTTAAAAGGAGAGGAAGAGAAAGAAAAGTAATTCGTAAGAAAAACCAATATAATAACTTGGATGTTTTTTATTTTATTAATGTATATATATTCATTGGTTTGATTTTTTTTTTTTTTCTTTAAAAAAAAAACACACTGTCTTGGCCGCATGTAGGAAAAACAGTACTACCAAACATACCCGATTTATAACATCGAATAACCCAAGTGTAGACTTGATTAGTTGCTGTTTTCTGGGGGAATTTATGTAAAGCACATCCTAGAGCTAGTAGCAAATTTACTCTGGGTGCAGTATACTTACCTGGCATATGTCAATCACCTGATGAAATGCATTATATGCGCATCGAAACACGACGGCAATTGGGTCGCGATTTTGACATGTTTTCGATGTAATATCCTAAAATAAAGTGTATATATATATATATATATATATATATACTCTCTCGATTCTCCCGTCGAATTCGACGTATAAGACCAGTTCCTAGGAAACCGACAGCACGACAACAGCACATGAGATTTGATTATAGTGGTGAAGGTTTCGTGAAGGACCATCCATACTTTTTGAAGGACCTGGTGCACTAAGTGCCACAAGGTCTCCAAACGACCCTCCGCAGGTTTTGAATTCAGAGTTTTCCTTCTCCTAGACCAGTTGCCATCCAAGGCTATAGAACCCAGTCTGTCCTGCTATTTACCCATAGCTGGAGGGAGAAGAAGAGGATTCACACCTTTCCCATGTAAGTGAATTTAATGGATTCGACTGGAATTCGAATTCGGCCCTCCGATTTCTCAATCTAAGCTATATATATATATATATATATATTAAAAATTTATGTAAATAATTATATAAATCACACTAGAGTGAGTCTGCGTGTCAAAACATGTAAATATATATCACATTTGTTACACGCCGGTACAACATGTTTGATACGCAGACTAACTCTACAATAGCTCAATTAGATCTCATTTAAATATTCATGGCGACCTACCGGACACTATTCGTAACATACTTGTCGAAAACAGTAATATAATATCATCATCTACATGCAAAAAACGCAAAAATTAATGGAAGCCTTATTAATAAAAGCAAACAAACACTTAATAATATTAACTTAGAACATGGACATAATATCTTGACCGTGTTTTAAAAAATGAAAACATTTTATAACACATACATACAACAAATTATTTCTTATTTAACAGTTAAAATATTTAATCCTTGAAAATGGCTAAATGTATAGCCGAAAGCGCGCGAATAAAAAGAACATTCGGATAGTTTTTATATAATTTATCATCCGAAAAGAAAAAAAAATATTAGATCGCATGAGAAATTGTATAAAAAACTAAATCAAAGCCCCTTGTCTGTTCTATTCAATGAAATATATATATATATATATGTATGTATATATATATACAATGTAACCGGGATATAAGAGAAACCCGGATATAAGAGAGATTTACTCTGGTCCCAAAATAGAGCCTGTGTTAATGTATATATAATAGACCAAACCCGGAGATATAAGAGAAACCCGGATATAAGAGACTTCTTCTCCGGTCCCGACAACTCTCTTATATCCGGGTTACACTGTATATATATATATATATATATATATTTATTTTAGGATATTACATATTATATATATATATATATATATATATATATATATATATATATATATATATATGTATTTATTTTAGGATATTACATCGAAAAGATGTCACTACATATGCCAGTGGGCTGATTTAAAATACCACCGCTCTAATATATATTATAAAAAAAAAAACATTTCATGATTTAATCCTCATTTTCTCCTAAAACATCTGAAGGAATTTTCCTTAGAGAGATAGAGACCTAGATAGATATATAGGAAGGAGTAGGCAAAAAATAGATGTATGGATAGATACAGAATATATATATATATATATATATATATATATATATATATATATATATATATATATATATATATATATATATATATATATATATATATATAACTGAGATTGATAGTTTTCTGATGTTGACGGCTTCGCTTGTCACATTTGTTACGTTAAGACTTGTAAACGCCGGTACTACTACAAGAAGTAACGCCTTCCAATTACTTAATAATGGAATCGCCCGTGTTCCTCTCTATCGATCTAGTTTCAAACCACAGTGTCGGCAACGACACTTACTCTTATACAGCAGATAGATAGATAGATAGATAGATAGATAGATAGATAGATAGATATAAAAAAAACACTGAGCATGATAAAGCGAGAGGGAGGGAGAGGTGTTGATGATGAACAGCGACAGACAGGCAAACACACATATATATATATATATATATATATATATATATATATATATATATATATAGATAGATAGATAGATAGATAGATAGATATATCAGCAGAGGTAGATAGATGTATATGAACAGAGATAGATAGATAGATAGATAGATAGATTATAAACTGACTGAAATAGATAGATAGATCGATATGAGCAGAGGTAGGTAGATGTATATGAACAGAGATAGATAGATAGATAGATAGATAGATAGATAGATAGATAGATAGATAGATAGATTATAAACTGACTGAAATAGATAGATAGATAGATAAATATGAGCAGAGGTAGGTAGATGTATATGAACAGAGATAGATAGATAGATAGATAGATAGATAGATAGATAGATAGATAGATAGATTATAAACTGACTGAAATAGATAGATAGATAGATAAATATGAGCGGAGGTAGGTAGATGTATATGAACAGAGATAGATAGATAGATAGATAGATAGATAGATAGATATAGATAGATAGATAGATTATAAACTGACTGAAGTAGATAGATAGATAGATAAATATGAGCAGAGGTAGGTATTATATGAACAGAGATAGATAGATAGATAGATAGATAGATAGATAGATAATAGATGAGGATTATAAAGGACTGAAATAGATGATAGATAGAAAATATGAGCAGAGGTATAGATGTATATGAACAGAGATAGATAGATAGATAGATAGATAGATAGATAGATAGATAGATTATAAACTGACTGAAATAGATAGATAGATAGATAAATATGAGCAGAGGTAGGTAGATGTATATGAACAGAGATAGATAGATAGATAGATAGATTATAAACTGACTGAAATAGATAGATAGATAGATAGATATGAGCAGAGGTAGGTAGATGTATATGAACAGAGATAGATAGGTAGATACATAGAAAGATGAACAACGAACAGACAGATAATAGAATGACCAAGATAGATAGATAATAAACTGAGATTGATATATATATATATATATATATATATATATATATATATATATATATATATATATATATATATATATATATATATATATAGCTAGATATATAGATAATGAACAGACTGAGATAGACAGCCATATAACGAAAAGACATAGATAGATAGATAGATAAAAATGAAGGAACCTGATAGATTTAATTAGATCTTCTCGACAATTAGATTTCTGTTTGACCAATCTCAGCTTAGGTCATTATCTCTGAGACGACATCATCTCCTATTCGCGACTATCATCACTTACTAAAGCTTTGCAATTTATTTAGTAGTCAGTTAAAATTTAGTTTTGTCGAGAATTGATAGCATGGGGGCGCTTAATCCTCATAGGGGATCACGCATTTTAATCCTTGTGCCAAATTGAGTAGTGTCTCTCGATCTATTTAAATAGTTACTGCCCTGTTTACGCCATTAAGGTCTCCATTTTTGTTCTCATTTACACAACTTTTCGGCCCAGCCTTCTTCAGATTTTTTTGTTCGGCGTAATCTTAAGGAAATTTTTGAACTTTGAACCCTTTATTTAATTTACAGGAGTAGATTGTTCCCGCTCCACAGTCCATGCCTCGAGTTTTCTCGATTTTTCCCTTCCTTTTTTAGTACTGTTCAGTTAATGGTTACTTTTTTCTAACTGAAATATCTATCAGATTTTATCTATCTATCTATCTATCTATCTATCTATCTATCTATCTATCTATTCCTGCCATATTCTCTTCATATCTATCTATCTATCTATCTATCTATCTATCTATCTATCTATCTATCTATCTATCTATCTATTTTAGTCTGTTCATGATCTATCTATCTATCTATCTATCTATCTATATTTACCTGGGGTGAACGAGAACAAGAAGACTTTAATGAAGAGTTTTAAAGAGAGGACAAAAAATGGGACCATGGTCCCGGAAGACAGCAGATGGCGATTGACGTTACATTTAATTTTTAGAAGATTGTAAGTGGTAGGTAAGAAAGAAATGGTGAGACCTACTTGCCAATCAAGTAGCACGCTTAAATTCATGCAGTCGCGTAACTAAGGACAAAGGATCACCAGAAGAGGTGTTATGACAATATCTGTAGGAAAGGCAGAGAGAAACCACGAGACGTCGGTGCGAAAGTGACTGCTGTTGAGATGCCAGGTCAGGATCGATTATATCACAGACCCTTTTATGAATTTTCTAGTTTCATTCGTTTGAAGCCACTTTTGATCCTTGGGGATTTTATAAGCGTCGCTTAGATGTGGCACAATGTCAAAAGTATGTGGCACCCAGTGTGAATCGAACTTACTGTTATTTCATTCGCGACGCAAGCTTGTTAACCATTACACCACATCGAAGTGCCAAACCACGATTTTCTAATATTAGATTAGATGTGGCACAAGGCATAATCTTTGTAGCACTCTTGGAGGATGGGACTGACAACTCAATCGTAATTGATCTAGAGAGAGAGAAGCTTGCTAAACATTACACCAATCCGAGGTATCTGGTGTTTTTTCTAAGGGTTGCTTAGATGTGGCACAAGGCCGAAAGTATCGAGCACCCAGTGAGGATCAAACTCACTATTCAGTCGCAATTGATCGAGCGAGAAAAGCTTGCTAACCATTACAACACGTCGAAGTGCCCAAGCCATTTTTAATCATTGAACTTCTAGGAAAAAAAAAGATTTTTAGTTTACATATCGGTTAAAGAAAGCGTTAGGTTGAAAGTGCTTGGCTTTTGTAAGCAGAAAAAATGTTATTCCCTTACAAAACTCAGTAGATGCAATAGAAACATTAATATCTGACTTTGCCGCGTTACAGGAAAGCCGAACGCAATAAATTTGTTGAAAAATAAAAAGCAAAATACATTGTAAACAACAAATTTGGTTCACTGCCACTGCTTTAGGATTTCGAATCAACATCGGAATTAAATACATCTATTTCCTTCGATTCAAACTCGACGTCAATTTTGAGAATAGCCTACGAATCCCCCCGCAATCGTAAGTCTATACTTGCTTGTCATAATATCAAAACTCGATCATTTATCGTATATAACTCACAAACTAAATGGATAATTCCGAAGAAAAAAAGAAGCATGGTGTGGAATGTGACCTGTTTTTTTGTAAGCGAATTTCTAGTGCTATATCTCCAATTTTTCAAATAATACCGCTTTGACATTAGACAGCTGCTAAAATAGAACATTGGATTTTTTTCCCCAGTACCTATTTCGATATGTTGCTAAACCTTTACACTTACCTGAAGAATTCATATTTATTTAAAATCTAATATATGTGGATTCCTTCAATTTCCGATTTTTCCAAAGCAGTCACATGTTTGTTATTTTGACCTCAATGATAATATATATTTTATTTTGTCTTAAATCGTTTTTTGGTTGTGAAATGGAAATAGTGGAATGGAATATTGCATTTTGGCCCTGATCTGGCATCTCGTCTGCAGTCTTTCTCTCTCACAGACGTGCCGTTGCCTCATTCTCTCTTTTTTACAAATACTTTCACCGTAACTGCTCCGATGAGCTGCTTTCGCTGGTTTCCAGACTTCATGAATTTAAGCGCTCAACTAGCCTGGCATCTCGCTCTCACCCTTTCATTGTCGAAACTGTTAAATGTAGCCGTCTCTTCTACTCCAATAGCTTCATGTCTCGCACCTCTCGTCTGTGGAACTCCCTCCTCTGTTCATGTTTTTCTGATAGCTATAATCTCCAACTATTCAAATGTAACGTCAATCGATGTCTCCAGATGCCCTGATCTATCCACTATCTTTCTCTTCATCCTTTCCTTTATCATTCCTATTTGCTCTAGCTCCAACTCTCTGTAACCCCTTGCGTGCTAGTGGCTTCCCGCCTTACTTGCGGTTGAATGCTTTAAAAAAAAATTCTCTTGTTTTGAATTCAATATCGAATCCTGAAAAATCTCCGAGTTTACTGTCGTGCAAATATGTCACTTTCTTTCTAGATATATTTTTGTTTCGCGTTAAAGATGAAATTTTATATTCCGAATCCGATAATGAGAAAATATTTCACCGAGAAACTTGCAATATTAAAATATGCATCATTTTACAGCGTTGTGCATTCCTGTGGATTGAGAGAGTTTCACAAATTTAGGCTTCATATTTTCTGACATTTTAGTTTCGTCGTCGAAAGAATAAACTCTTACGCTCCTAAACAACGTATTGCTAATGTCACTGGCGCCCATACACCTCGTCTATATCTGTCTATATCTTTGAAATGAGGTATCATGATTATTTGCAGGTTTTGTTTCGTTTAATTTCGTTTGTTTTACGGCGTATCAACCTCAATGGGTTATTTAATGCCAACAAAATTTATATTGCTGGTAATAATTTTTCCAAAAATGTATTGCTGCCTGTGTAAATGAGAACAGAGTTATCTGCCCCTGCGAAACAAGCTGGGACAGAGTTACCTGCCCTTGGCATAGTATATAAAGCGGACCGGTGAACGCGGCCGGGCGCGCTTTACTGACATACAGTATCGGGCGTGTCGTATGCACTCGTCACACTTTACACTGCCAATATTTGTTTTTTTAAAAAATGTATTTTTGGTAATATTTTTTTTCCAAAAATGTATTTCTGGTTAAATTTTTTCTTCAAAAATGTATGGCTGGCAAAATTTTTTGTTCAAAAATGTATGGCTGGCAATTTTTTTACTTCAAAAATGTATGGCTGGCAAATTTTTTTCTTCAAAAAGGTATTGCTGGCAGTTTTTTCTTCAAAAATGTCTGGCTGGCAAAATTTTTTCTTCAAAAAGGTATTGCTGGCAATTTTTTTTCTTCAAAAATGTATGGCTGGCAAAATTTTTTTCTTCAAAAATATCTGGCTGGCATTAATTTTTTGTTCAAAAAGTATTGCTGGAAATTTTTTTCTTCAAAAATGTATGGCTGTCAAAATTTTTTCTTCAAAAATGGAATTGCTGGCAATATTTTTGTTCAAAAAAGTATTGCTGGGAAAATTTTTTTCTTCAAAAATATATGGCTGACACAATTTTCTCCTCAAAAAAACATAGGCCAACCAAGGAACTTTCTAAATGCCTACTCCAGAGACCCTCGTGAGACTCGAACCCGGCTATCATAGCCAGAAAACAATCTTTCTAACCTCTCAGCCTGGCGCTCTAACTGAACGCATGTATAGAAGAAAAAGAATTCCTGTCTTTTCGAAGGGTATTAAGCGCGGTTTAATTGGAAGCGAGTTTACCGACGATGACACCAGCTTTCCAATCTCACCATTTGCGATTTATCAGAAAGCTGACTTCTTTATTTTTTTAATGGAGTTCATCCCAAGCAAGGTATTAAAGCCACTAAGACACTAAATCGTTACTAGGTGTGAAAGAATTAGAAAACAGAAAACATTATGAAGGAGCAAGAACAATACAAAAGTAACCAGGAAATCAGTAGATAACGATTGACATTGCATTTAAATTTGTTTTCTAATCCGAGGAACTCCATTCGCTGGTTCCCAGACTTCACGAGTTCAAGCGCCCTACGAGGCTAGCATCCCGCTCTCACCCTTTCACTGTCGAAACTTCTAAATGTAGCCGTCTCTTCTACTCCGATAGCTTCACATCTCGCACCTCTCTCCTGTGGAACTCCCTTCCGTATTCCAGTTTCCCTGAGAGCTATAATCTCCAACTATTCAAAATGTAATGTCAATCGACATCTCCAGTTGCCTTGATCTATCCGCTATTCTTCTCCTCATCCTTTCCTCTATCACTCCTATCTGATCTTGCTCTAAATCTTCTGTAACCCCAGGTCCTAGTATTTCTCGCCTTGCTTGGGGTGAAACGCTTAAAAAAAATTTCACCCCATGCAAGGCAATAAAGCCACTAAAACACAAGGGGTTACTGAGTGTGAAAGAAAAAGAACAAAAGAGAAACATTATTAAGGAGCGAGAACAATAGAAGAAGAGTAATCAAGAAGACAGTAGATAACGATTGACATTGCATTTAAATTTGTTTTCTAATCATTTCACCCCATGCAAGGCAGTAAAGCCACTAAGACACAAGGGGTTACTGAGTGTGAAAGAATAAGAAAAAAAAGAGAAACATTATTAAGGAGCGAGAACAATAGAAGAAGAGTAATCAAGAAGACAGTAGATAACGATTGACATTGCATTTAAATTTGTTTTCTAATCATTTCACCCCATGCAAGGCAGTAAAGCCACTAAGACACAAGGGGTTACTGAGTGTGAAAGAATAAGAACAAAAGAGAAACATTATTAAG